GCCCCACCTTGTCCCCGATCATCCTCTTAGCTCGAGCTGCCGCGCGGAGACGTGCTGTTCCGTGCCGCGGGGCAGAGCCGCGTGCTCCACGCGATGGGCAGCGGTGGGTGAGCTCAGCAGTCGCAGCCTCTTCCCGCGGCGAGATCGCGCAGGTTTTGCTCGTTGATCCCTGAGCTGAGCGTTTCGGGGTTGAAAGAAACACGTTTTTATGGGTCTTGTGCCAAAGACTTGGGGCCGTGTTTGTAGCAGCAATTTGCCTCCCCCTGTCTGGTGCCAGAAGCGTTTTTGTTGGCCTAATCCTCAGGCTCAGAGACTTCAGTGGTGGTGGAGCTTGAGCTGCTTTTCAGCCTGGGAGCAGCTTTGTGCTCCAGGTCTCTGCGTTGCATTTGGTCAGTTCGTGGAAATCATTTTACGCGCTGAGGTAGGGTTGAGTTGTGGTGTAAGACATCAAAGATGAGCCTGTTTAACTTTGGTTCCCCTTTTGCTTGCAAATCCAGAGTATTCTTTTCCTCTCTTCAATTCCCACGGTTCAGGGGAACTTTTACTGCGTATTTGCGTTTCCAGTGTCCCGTTCCGTGCTCGTGGCCCTGCCTGTGGGAGCGATGGGGCTGAAGGCCGGTGTGATGAGCAGGTGGCACAGGGCAGCGGTGCAGGAGCAGCCTGTCACGTTGGGGATCCGCTCTGGCACCGCGTGGAGGGTGGGATGGTTCCTTCACCTCTTCCCCTCTAAAGCCGTGCTGTGGGGTTTTGAGGGATGAGCTGGGAGGTGACGACTGTTTCCCTTCTCCAGGCTACGACAGCTGACGGAGCAGGGGCAGCTGCGTTGGCACTCGTGTGCTTAACGAATGACTGATGCCAAGAGCAGCATCTGCTGTGGGGGTACAAAGCTGGTACAAACCCTGCGTGTCCGCACCTTTCTGTGCCTGGAAAGGGTGTTTTTTCCAGGTTAAATCGAGGCAAGATCATGCTGTCTCTTCAACTTGGAAATGCCCTCCTTGGAAATGGGGTAGTGCGTGACAAACGCAGACAGCTAATAAGGACGGAGTAAGGAAAAGGAGCTGGAAATAGGTCCTTACATAAAGGCCTAGTGCTTCAAGCTCATTATGGTCTTAAGGAGCGGACACTTAGCTGCCTCCGACTCCTACGATGCAAACCGCAATCTGATAAGCAATCGGCTTTGGGAACCCGGCAGGTGCCACGTGGCAGCATGAGACGGGCAGTGCCCCTCGGGCAGCACCTCGCCACTGCTCCTCTGAGCTCACGGCACTCGTCCCAGTCAGCGTATGCCGGGTGGGAGTGTTCCCATGAAGATGCTGTCCCACATGCCGTAACGGGAATCGCTGCTTCGGAGGGTCGGGCACGATGAGGGAGCTGGGGATGAGGCGTGCGAGTCTCTCTGCCAGCCTGAAGATAGGGGATCGCTGGGGCTGCTGCCGGACTCCGGAGGAAGAGGAAGTCCACATCCCGTTTGCGCAGGACAGCCTGGTAAAGCAATGGAGCTCCATGCAGAACGTGACGGACAGAAACCTGGAAAAATGCAAGACTCCCATCCAAAGGAACAAGTACTTGCTCAACATCAACGTGGGTGGCACGTTGTTCCAGATAGCTTACAAAGTAGCCGCCCGCTATCCCGTCACCAGGCTCGGGAAGCTGGCGCTTTATACGGACCCTATGAAGAAGCTCCAGCTCTGCGATGACTACTCAGTGCAGAAAAATGAGTATTTCTTTGACAGAGATCCTTCCATTTTCCACTACATCTTCCACTTCTATCGCAGCGGGGTCCTGTGGATAATGGATGAGATGTGCCCCAGTAACTTTGTGGAGGAAATCGAGTACTGGGGGATCCATCTGAAATACTCTCAACGCTGCTGCCGGATCCTCTTTGAGGAAAAGCAAGATGAACTCAGCGAGTACCTGAAAATACAGAAGGAGCTGGAGGCAGAACTGGAGCCGGTGGACTCAGTGGAGCACTTTGAGGGCAAATTTCTGGGACGGTTTCGGAAGGCGATCTGGAACCTCATTGAGAACCCGTACTCTTCTATCCCAGCCAAGATCATTGCTGTCATGTCGAGCTTCTTTGTGCTTATCTCCATCGTGGGCATGACACTGAGCACAGTGGAGGAGATGAAACACAAGACAGGGAAGATGTGGATGGAGCAGCTGGAGATGATCTGTGCCATCTTCTTCACCTCTGAATACCTCATGCGGCTCATCTCCTCCTCCAGCTTCAAGAACTTTTTGCGGGCAGCGTTTAATGCTGTAGACCTGGTGGCCATCCTGCCCTTCTACATCCAGATCCTCTTTGAAAATCTGGATGAAGGGGACGTGCTTTACCATGAGGAACTGCACAAGGTGGAGAGCGTGAGCAAGCTGGGCAAAGTCCTCAAGCTCATCAAGCTCATGAGGATCTTCCGCATCCTCAAGCTAGCGCGTCACTCCACCGGCCTCCGGGCCTTCGGCTTCACCATGCGCCAGTGCTACCAGCAGGTTTGCTGCCTCCTCCTCTTCATCGCCATGGGGGTCTTCACCTTCTCTGCTCTCATGCATTCAGTGGAACATGATGTCCCAGGCACCAACTTCACCAGTATCCCCTACGCGTGGTGGTGGGCAGCGGTAAGGCGTGAGCACCTTCTTCCAGAGAGAGGTGCAGTGGGGTTCCGTGGGCAGGGGCTGTCCTGGTGCTTGACAGAGTCACCGCTGCTGCTGGCCAAGGGGCAAAAAAAGGCTCGGTCTTCCCACCAGCTCAGTACTGGTGGGAACCCAGAGCCCTGCACGCGCTGAGAAAAGAAATCAGAGGCTCAGAAGCTGGTGGTGGAGTGGGATAGTGGGACAGAGGTGGTGACCTGGGGACCTCCAAGCCTGGGTTAGTGACAAGGGGGTTGTGACTCAGCCCGGGGTTTATCTGCCATGGGACGTGCGTGTCGGGTGGGCACGGCTCAGAGCCGTGGGCAGGGGGGCAGCTGCTTGGGGCAGCCCGAGGCTTGTGCTGCCCGGCTGGGCGTGGGAGGCGCGAGGGGGTCCACGCTCCTGGGGCTGAGCTGGGGGACCCAGGGAACCAAGGAACCGCGGCCCCACCGTGTGCTGCAGCCAGGGGCAGGAGCCCTCGTTTGCTGCTCTGCTCGTGCCGGGAGCGTCAGCTCCGCTGAGCCGAGTGCTATAATAAACCTGGGATTATTTCCCATGCGGAGCAGCTAAAGCCCTTCGGAGCCAGGGGTTATGAGGGCATCTTGACTCACGGATGAAATGATCCCACAGATCACTTCTGCTCGTATAATCCCCTTTGGCCACCACAGGCTGCCTGCTTCAAATTCATCCCTCCTCCAGGAAGTGCCAAATCCCCAAATTTGAGTGTTTAAATGTCACGGGCTGAGCGTGTCCCCGGTCAGCATCGCTCCACGCAAAGCCCAAACCTCTCTGCCTCGGCTCTCGCCCTGTCCCCGTAGTCCCGCTCCCATCAGCCAAACACGGTTCCTCTGGGTGCATCCCTGGGCAGTGCCTCTGTTTCCTTCGGAGGGAGGCTCCAGGAAGCTTCGTTCCTGTGGGGCCGGGCAGCTTATGGCCACG